TATAATATTCAAATAACAGAACTAAACAAAAAAGTGGATACAAATGAATGTCCATCTGTGTATTCAAAATAGTTGGGATAGATACACAGTTACATTCTCTTAATGAATAGAGGGATTTATTCTAATAGTGGTTGTAAATAGGATATAATGTCTGCATCTTGTACAGCAAATAACCACTAGGAAGAGAGTATGCAATGTGTTAAGTATTGAAACTGTCCTGCCAATTTGATTTGAAACTGTCTCATTGCTATTTGTTTCTCAATAAAGTTATGGAGAAAAATAAATAAATAAATAAATAAATAATCAAATACCTCCTCACTTTCAGTACACAAATCCTATTTTTGCTGCTTTCTGAAGTAGTTCTGAAAAAATTCTCTTTTGTGAGTATCTTTTCATGGCTGCTTCAGTATCCTGAATTAATTCAAAATGTTTATGGATATTTCTATCAAGTAAAAGCATTATAGCGTGACTTCACCTTATTCATTGGCTCTGGCACAAGTGACTTCCGGGTCTTCTCCAAAATTAAAATGAACACTGCATGTCAACTTTTTGAAATGATTTGCAAGGTGGCCACTGCACAGCTAAGACACTCATAACAAAAGGCTCTAAGAATTGTCTCATAGAGTGGCGACAGCCACAGAGTAAGTGTGTTTCAAGCAAGAGGGAACAACGTGTTTTTTACTAAAATAAATTTTTAAGATTTACATTTTATCAGACCTCATATTTAATCCAAGCTATCAAAATAGTCTTTTGATATGTAATAAATATTATTGAGCTATTTTGTATTCTTTTCTTGCAGAATACAAAAATTTCTTCAAGAGGTTTTGAAGTATGACGTGATTTTTTTACTTCTAATTTGAATTCTACACATTTTAATTCAAACCAGTTCATACTCAGTGCTGTATGTCATTGTTGACTATAATATTATTCATTACAGAACTTACCTTTTAAAAGAAATTGATGATTGACTCTCCTGTTTCTGTAAACTGACTGTAAATTCCTATCACATTCAGTGTATGTGCTACCCTGAACTTAATCATCTTTCATTAATGCACACCTTTGCTTAGACCATTTCCCTCCACTAAAATTGGCCTTTTCCTGTCAATATTAAAGGTCTTCCCTGTTTATCAGATCCCAACTCTTACACCATTTCGTAATTCATTATGTGAAGTCATTAATGTTTGTATGAAAAGTAATACAGCACATGCTATATTTTATAAAACACCACCAGCAGATGGTAGGATAGTACACCAAAATCAAATATGTAAATATTTCTGCAGTGTGAAGAAAGGGAGTTCAAATAATCAGAATAAATCCAGACCTTAAATGGCTTTTCTTGGGTTAGATTAGGCATTAGGTCAAGCTCTCCACCATATGAGATGTGAAAAGCATTTGGTTTTTAGAGCTCTATATCCTACAAATACTTCTCCAGCTCACTATGTGATTGGTCTCAAGTCTTCCTTTAGTACTTACCTGGGCATGTTTTCTCTTCTATGCACGAACAAAGCCTCTCTGTGGGCAAGGGCTTTATTTTTTTATTTTTAACATCTTTCATGGTACCTGCCACTCTGTCTTTTTAGAGAGTACAAATAAAATAAA